AATGAACTTGTCCGAAGTCTTAGGGAACAGCTGCTACAATGCAGGGGAAATAATGATACCATAAACAACTCTCTTACTCCTTTGACTGAAAATGTAAACGAGCTTGAGCGGCAGCATATCCTGGAGGACTAAGTTTTACGAGTATGTTTGGTATTTTCTATTAGTAAGACCTCCGTTCTCTGATCAAGCAATTGGCTTCATTGTGAAGTTCTATTCTGTGTAAAAGTTTCAAGCTGTTTGAATTGACTTATTGACCCATAGATAAGATATGAAAGTCCTGTTGTTTCCTGCTAATAATCTCTCAATTAGTAGGCGAGGTGCATTATGTACAAGTATCTCAAGGTTTGGAAGAAACAGCTAAACATATGGTCGGCATTAAAGGGTTATTATTGATTCCTTCAAGTCATATGAGATGGGTTAACTTATTTTGAGTTCTTAGTTCTGACATTTTCTTCAAAGCTATAAACAAATCTAACAGGTAGATGCATAAAAGGAAGGGGGGGGGGGGGGTAGAACCAAGTACCTGTTATGTAGCATGTCATACGTCCCATGATATCTACTCCGCCTGATTGTTGTAGTGTTATTCCCTTGGGCTCAGTTTGGAAAGAGTACAAATGCAAATATGTATAGGGTAAAGGGTTCGACTATAATACGAAAAAGATATGATATCTGAAAAACTTCTGATCACTCAACTGGAATCATGAATGCGGTAGCCAATTAGGTGTTATTTATCAAAATTCATTTTCTGCATCATAGATTGACCACCGCACTGACATGCTGGAGGGGATAAAGTAATAGGTAAATAGCCCTGCGTCTCTTTCAATAACACCCCTTTTCGACCGACCCAACCAGACATCGTTTGGTCACTCTCAAGAAACAGACGTATTCTCCTTTCATGTTTGGTTTTGGTTACTCTACATCTCGTCCGGTTTAGTGAGTCAACTCAGATGAGTGCTCGGTCTGCTTAAATGTTATTCATCTTCTTTATCCCATATCATCTCACATATCCCTGATAATCCTCCTTGCTCACTTTATCACATCCTCCTTTCCTTCCTAAAACAATAGTTTTTCTTTATATGTGTACCAGTAATAAGACAATTTTAAAATAAAATCGTAATTTCTAGAGTGTAAAACATGGATTTTCTGATTAATCTTCTTTTAAACAAATTTATTCATATGGCAAAAAAGGGTAATTTTGTTGTTCGCCATTATTTATATATAGAATTTAGCAAATGTAACCATGGTTTTTAAAATCGGATTGGAACGGATGGTTGAACCAGAAAAATCGGGAACCACTCAGGTGACTGGTTCCGTTTTTCCCCAAAACCATATTTTTACAAAAAACCATTGATTTGGTCAGCAAATCACTGATCCAAGCGGTTGAACCGTTCAAACCGTTCAATGGTTTTGACCGTATTTTATTTTATTGTCAGAACAGGCCGATCATTCAGTTTGAACGGTTGGACCATTCGACCTGGGAACCGGACCCCTGACCGGTTCAGTCTCCGGGTCGGTTTTAAAAACATCGAATGTAACCAATTATATGAATATGGTAAAGATATTTTGGCGTAACTACCTAGAATTTGAGTCACTAAAGTAGTTTTATAAAGAAATAACTAATTTAAGAATACATGTTTGCATAACATCCTATGCTATACACTATGGTTTACATGACATGGTTTTAAGCCATCTTATTTGAAAAAAAGAAAACTATGTCAACCTAAATGTGTTTGTATCGAGGCTTCCCAAAACATGAAAACAGGCTAAACCATATAAAAGATTTACATGATGAGAATTTCCAACTACTTTGAGGGGCATTCTTCAACATGGATTGTTTTTCTTGTTGCCGTCTCGAAAATAAATCAAAACCATATCTGGTTTGAAAATAAATTGTTTTTCAGAACAACACAGAAACGTGTTCTTGGCTGTGTATTATTTTTTTTTTTAAATGTTTGAAGAGCAAAATTTGTTTTTGTTTTAAAAAACATAATTTTGATGGTTTTAGAAACATGATTATTGATTCGTTTTTGAAAACAAAATCATCTTGATTTCACTTGTCCAAACAAAAACCAGGTTGGAGAATGTATTTTTTGTTTTTTTTTTTTTTTCCTGATGTGGAAATTTTAGAAAACAAATGAAAAGAAACCTTCACATTGTGGAGCACCTGCTCAATTGATGGACCTAACAACATCTCCTTTTTGCCGAACTTTAGTGCTCTTATACCATTTCAAAAACCTCTTATTGAAAAGAAAGAAGAAATTCTTTCAATTATGATTTTATGCTCACAATTAAATGAGGGAAAATTAACAAACAAGGGTATTTTAATCACAAAAAAATAAAAAATCTAGAAATCTCCAAAGGCATGTTCATAATTTCAAAGGAATATAGATAGATATGAGAGGGAAACCAGTTCTTAACTCTCTTTTTTTCTTCTTTTTTCCCTGGTAATGGTAAATGAAAGGGTATAGGATGCTTGGGGATTAAAAGGGTATAGGATGCTTGGGGATTAAAAGGGTATAGGATGCTTGGGGATAGACCACTTGCAATTGGGTTGGATACTTGCACCACAGAATTGGTGATTACAATGTTCTCTGTATAAAGTTGATTTACTAGGTGTAACCTTGTTCCGCATTCATAACTTTTTTATTTAATTTTTTACAATAAAAAACACATTTTCATTACCAAGGTCGCATTAGTAGTACGCTAGGTACTAATTATCAAGGTGGAAGGAATTATTCTTTGTGGGACCCATTGTAATACCTAATTGACATTAGCATGCCAGGTAATTATCACTAGAAGAGTAATTAAAGCAAGTTTTATTATTGTATTAGTTAGTTACTTTACTTTATTGCTCCGACCAATATATATATCAAGATGAACACCCCTTTAAGTTAATTATCCAATTCAATCTAATAATGCATTTTTTCTTTAAATCCAATCCAATTCAATCCGATGAATTTAATGGATGTCCAACAGACAAAATCCAATCCATTGACAGCCATTCCAGTGAAGACCAATTCTATGAAAAAAAAAAAAAAACTATGGAACATACAAAGAATTTCATTTTGATTTTAGGTCTTAACAACACATTGAGAGATCCTATTTCAAATATCCAATATTTGATGGTTTTAGCAATATTATACGCATTCATTTCTAAGCCAAAGTTACATTAAATTCAAACTCAAACCTCATGTCTCAGTGCACTTTGTTGATTTTCATTTTTTATTTCACCTTCTCCTTCATTTTGGATTTTAGCATTGAATTTCTAAGTAGACAGGCAAAGCAATTTTTTTATGCAAACTACAGACCCGAAAGACATGTTTTTTTCAGTGGTAAAAGGTCTCCTTGTTGAACAATTAAGAATGAACTCTCTTAATTGATGGAAAGAGTGATGCAGACAATTTGGACCGTCCATCGACAATAAACTATGCATTCAGTTCCATGTCACCCAGCCAAGGTTCAAAATATTGATACGCCTGATACATCGGTAGAGGTGTATCGGGCATTTCGATACTTGTTTTTTTTTATCTTTTTTTGTTTTTTTCAAAACTGGTTCAGGGGAGCCGGTCTAGGATCCCTCCATCCCCTGAACCAGTCCCCCGATACATCTACTGTAAGGGCGTATCGGAAGGGTCCTGGAACGATACATATTGGCCAATACGGGTCGATATGTAACGATAGTTTGAACCTTGCACCCAGCCAGCCAGTCCAGAACCAATTTTCTTTGTAGTAATCAGATATTTCAGTCAAAAAAATGCAGAAAGCTTCCTATTGTAAAGGACTTAGGGTTATAAGAGCAGGTACAGTGCCCAAAGTGTGGATGCTTTTTTATGACCCGATAAATTGCCACATGGAATTTTGGTTGCTTTGTAATTTGACTGGTCTTTCCAGCTGGCAACTTCTAGTTATTATTATTATAAATCAAATTCTAAGTTAGTAGTGCTTGTTCTTTCTCTCCCTCGTTTCTAATTTCTTAATTTTGCTAGCAATGTTAAGCGTACAAATTTGTTTCCACGTATGCCTTACAAATGCACCCTGCAGCTCTTATCTGGAATATTGTGTCGTGAATTTCCACTGTTCCAAATGTATGGTCTACATTGATTTGTAATGCATACAAGAAAAAAATAGGGAAATTGTCAAAAACTCGTCATGAGTTTTCAGCATTTCTCTTAAATTCACTACAATTTTTCAAAATGTCTAAAACTCACCATGTCACTAACTTGACGTTAAAGAGATTAATAGCTGTTAATATATTACCATTTTAACCWTCATAGAAAAATATAAAATATATACATATATTTTAATATTTAGATATGAGAAAAAGGAAAAAGTTCAAAAAAATATTTTCAAATATAAAATACATAAAAACACAGAAATTGGAAAAAATATAAAAAATGATAGAAATTGCACACACAAAAAAATTATTTTCAAATATTGTAAAACAAAATTAGAAAATAAAAATTGTAGAAAAACACCAAAAATAAAAGCACAGAAATTGCAAATAAATAAGAAAATACAGAAAATTTTATAGATTGTAGAAAATAGAAAAATGTAAAAAATAGAAATTATAAAAAACATTAGAAATTATAACAAAGCACTAAAATGTAAAAAAAAAGAAAATTAGAAAATGAAAAAGACCCTTTTCCTCTAACTCACCATTCAAGGATGATTTGGTCATAAAAATTGTTATTTATGTTGATATGGACACCTCTGTTAAGAAACATTAAAATGTGAGTTTTGAAAAATAAAAACTTACTGACATGGTGAATTTTAGACGTTTTGAAAAGTTGTAGTGAATTTAAGAGAAATACTGAAAACTCATGATGAGTTTTAGACAATTTCCAAAAAAAGATTCGTATGCTTAGCATTTTTACGCACCCAATATGCCAATACATCGCCACAACACGCCACAGTCTACTGAGTTAACTCAGCCGAGTTCTCCCATAATATAATTCTTCAAGACTTCAACAATAACGCCTGGTCGGTTATTCATAGAACACGATTGACGATCCATCTGCGCTTTGCGTTAAAAAAAGCGAATACCCACGTTACCCAAATCATCATCCCTCAACTCATCTGCTTTTCCTTCATTAAGCGACTCAAACGTTCCGTCTTCCATCTGATGTCAAGGTCGTTATCTTTATTCCGTCAAGGGGGTTCAAATATTAATGGCGGTTCAAGTGGGTAAATCTTCTTTGGGGGGGTATATTCTCGATGAATTCAAACACGTCGCACGGTCTTTCACGTAAAATTCCGTGCAGAAGCGCAGCCTCATCTGGTTTTGGAGCATACATTACTGCATATATAAGCAAATGCTGATCAACCACATCGATGTATGGTGGGTTTGTGGCGTGTCTCTAGTTCATGGGTTGTTCAGAAGCAGCTATGGACGCTCCAGACTCTCTTGATCAAGAAGAACAACATCTGAACGCAAATCATTTGGGAGATATTTCTTGTACCACATTCAATATCCTGGCGCCAATTTACAAGCGATTGAATAGCGAGGTATCGTTGAAGCCGGGGTAATTAATAATATCTGGGTCAATGGAATTTTGTTGTGTTTGATTTGAAACCATTGTTGTTTTGTACTTTTGTTGATGCACCCTCCAGAGACGTGAGAGTGATTTCAGGGAGTACTGGCTTAGCCGTAATGAATGCATATTGGAAAGGCTACTGCACCTAAAATCTTCAATAATATGTTTACAGGTCTGATATTTCTATATCATTGAATTGCTCTTCTTTGTATTGGAAAAGGGTGCTTGAGTATCATGTTATGGTCAATTTTTTCTCTTAATTATTGCTTGTATTAGGAGTTCTGGGTGGGCAATGAAGAACTTGTTGGAATGTATGAGAAGCGACTCACTGATGCCGGGTATGTCACATACAAGCTTGCACGGACGAATAACAGAGGTGACGGTATGATATTCTTGACTCTGCCAATTTTCCTTTTATTCGCCCAAAAAAAAAAAAAAAAACTTGCCTTTAATCCATTCTCACCTTCTAACCTGTATAGGTGTCTTATGGGCAGGGGAGTTCTATACCTCAGTTAGACAAAAAGGGTTGTCTAAGTCTATTCCATTTCCTTCCACTTTTCAGTCTAAATTACTTAGACACAGGATTCTTTGGGGGGGGGGGATGTTTGGTTTATTCTTAAGGTGAGACAATACTCTTCGGAAGTGTGAAAATGCATTTTGTAATTTGCATTTTGGTAGAATATATGCATTGGTGCTTCTTTGTCTTTCAATTCTTTGGTAAGTCATGAAGTCAATTGAGTCGAAAAAGATATTGAAATCCTTACAAGCTAAGTTTGAGGATGCATGTCTCATTTTATTGTTGTGAGTTATATATTATGTAATAAACCAATAATTGGTCAAATTTGAGAATTCGGTGCCCAGAGTTCTCCTTTATAGACTGCAAAAAGATACTGAAATCCTTAGGCAAGTTTGAGGATGCATGTCTCACTTTATTGTTATGAGTTCTCTATTATATAATAAACCAAGAATTGGTCAAAATTGATAATTTGGTGCCCAAAATTCTCCTTTGTAGACTGCTACTACTCTGGATCCTCAATTATGCAGTTCCAAAAGCTGGTCATTAGTTGAACTCTCCTGCACTCCTGATCCCATTCGCCCTCCCATTTCATGCTCTGGTCCCATGGAATGAGAATTAGATATGGATGACCGGTGCACATCTCTTTTTAGCTTTAAGAGTTCTCCATCATAATAGTAAGCCTAGCACTGGTGAGTATAGTTCATGGAATCATCCTATTTATTGGTTCTCTCTTCTTTCATATTTGTACAAAAACAATGTTCTTTCTCACTGTAAGTTTGAAGTGACACAGAGAATGTTTTCCTGATAAAATTTAGTTGAATTTGCACTTGTTTTCAACAAGTTATGTGATTTAGGTGTTTCGTTCCACTATTTTCTCTTTAAACAGCATTGATACTGAAGGGGTTGAGTAGGACTATTTTGTTTTCCTGGGTGGTTATGGGACATCTCCAATTAGAATTGCATCAGCCTGGAATCATTTTCTTATTCCTGTAATTAATGAATCCTTGAACTTCTTCTTCCCTTTATATCCTATTTCTATCTTTTGCAAATACAAGTGGGTTGATGGTTGGTAATTGGCAGTTAAGGGTAAATTTTGAACCCGACTCTATGGCATTAAGCCCCCCATAAGCCCTACCAAACTTAGCAGTACCATATTAATGTTTGGTTTTGAATGTTTAGCAATATGTATGCAAAGTTTTAAAATACGGAGGCATGATGCTAGGTGTTCCACAGCCTGGAGGCATGAGGTGTAGCTCAGAATTCAAAAGGCATAAGCCTCCTAAGCACAAGGAGGTGTGAACCTCAAGAGGAGGAGGAGGAGGAGGAAAGGAGTTCTTCTTCTTTCTTTTTCTTTTCTTTTCTTTTCTTTTCTTTTCTTTTCTTTCTCTCTTTCTGTCTTGAGGCATGCTAAGCTGCATGACTAGAGGCATACGCCTTATGCAAAAGGTGCTTGAGGCAAGTGTCTCAGAGGCGTCTATGCTTCCAGAGTACATCTCAGTTCATTTTGAATGCATCTCACCTCACGTCAGGGTTCATCTCCATGCATATGCCTCAAACCTTTTAAAGCTTTGTGTATATGTGCTTCTGTTCTCTCAAGGACTCCAAATCACCCTAACATATTTTGAAACAGACCATCTTTAACAATTGGTAGATCCATCCATGGCTTGGATCGCAAGAAGATGCATTGTTTCTAGTATTATAGGTTATGGAGGCCTTGTACCTTAGTAGACTTCAGGAGATGATTCTTTGAGATGAGATGCCTTGTTCACTGGGATGTGTCTTGAAGTATATGAATTTTTTATTGCAGTTATCAAGTGGGAAGAGATTCATTGCTGGAAAATGTTTATAGTACAACTAATAATAACACAAATTAATGGTATACTGAAGTACTCTTTTATGGGGTATAAACTACATTAACTCAAAAGTATGGTATGTAGATTAACAATTATTAAATGTAAAGACATTGCAAAGCAATGCTACTATATTTTGAAGGCTCCAAATTTCTTTTGCATACATGCTTGGTATTGGGTCCAAAAATTACCTTAAGAGAGCATTTGGTAGCTTATTCTAGGATCAAAAGAAGTCTATATAATATGGGGACTATGGTTACTTCTAAATGATCATTGCTGTCAGAGTAATTTTGGCTATCACATTGTTGAACCAATTAGGTAAAAAATGCTGATCATGGCATGTAAAATGTAACAAATAAAATTTTAACTAGGAATTGGAGATGTTCTTGAACAATATAATTAATTTCCCAGATTTGTTTGTAAGAATGTAATTATTTCCACTTGTTGTAGTGAAAAACAGCGTAATGGAGTGAAAAGGTCCATCTAATAAAGCAAAGAAAGTCCTATGTGTTCCATATATTTGCAATATCACCTCTCTACATATTGAAGGAAAAGGGGTGCATGGAAAGGAATAAAAAGAATTTTAAGTAATGCTATTAAGGAGACAATGATTATATACATTTGGAGCCATTCTCCTCTTCTCTCACCAGTGCATATCCTTGATCATCTTGTTGATTTTAGTATGCTCTTATCAACCATAAAAATCTTTCTTTACTTAACTCTTTTAAGTTCCCATAAGATATTTTCCTTTTCCTTGATGACTAATACGATAAGTGACATTTTATTGTAGAAAAATTTTGGTGCAATGTCCTTAAATTAAAACCATATTCCTTGGTATCTTTATGCTTCATAATATCATCACCAGCTTTGTTTGAGGCATTGCATACATCCATCCCCTCTTGATACAGGCAGCATGGAGTTATCACTGATGGATAAATCAATAGAAGCATATGCCAATACTTATTAAGTATAAAATTTTTCTCACCAGTTGCCTGTTAAGCTTCCTTCATGTGACACTTCAAGAGGAGGATCAGAGAATGTCTTAAACAAGCTGGTGAAACTTTCATTAGTCATTCTTTGTTATTAATTCTAAAGCAAAGGTGGAAAGTGTTTCCTAAAGCTCTATTATGTTTGAAGAAGATGTGATCTACAAACTGCTTCTCCTTGTGCTGAACTCATATTTATCTTCTTGACCACAGGTCTATTAACTGCAGTGCACCAAAACCACTTCCAGGTTCTAAACTACAAAGAATTATTGTTCAATGACTTTGGTGACCGTGTAGCTCAGATTCTACATGTCAAGTTAGTTGTGCATTTTTCTCAGAAGAGATCTGTTGACATTGAGAAGGAAGCTCTTATTGTGAATACCCACTTACTGTTTCCCCATAACTCTAGCTTTTGCTTTCCTCGTCTACAACAGGTGACATTTGCATTCTTGTCCTAGTTTTCTTCTTAGAAAATCTCAATCTTTTTTTTTGCCTACAAAGTACTGTATATATTCTTTGTATTTCTGGTTTATATAAGACTTTTGAAATTCTGAACTTTGTATCATAGGTATACAAGATTTTGCAATACATTAGATCATATTGTGAAGAATGCCAGATTCCACCTGTACCTATCATCTTATGTGGGTAAGTTCTAATTACCTAGAGAAATAATTAAGGCAGTGCATGTTTACATTCTTTGGGTAATGTTGAAATATGAGTTAGAATTTCAGCATTGTTAGTATTTGAGTTTGAATAGGAGTCTATTATTATATTTTTTTCTTATAAGGTAGTCTTAAGAAGATTTTATTTTACCAGGGTTATACTGGTCTTTTTGTTTGTGTTGTGAAGTGATATAAATAATAGAAAGAGGCTCAATGGATCATGCAGCATGCTTTTCTCTTTTCAACCTACATTCTTATATACATATTCTTCTCTTCTTTCTTATGTCATATTTGGGAGCGCTTCTCCAATAGGCTTTTTGTGCTCTTCACGTTGGGGAAGCCAGAAACCAGTCAAAACAATATTTGGTGAAACCATTTGCCTTTTCACATTTGCAAGAAGCTATTTTGAACGAAAGTGCTGGTGACCATCCAAACACTAAAAAAGCACTTTTTCAAAAACCTATTTTAAAAAGTGACGTTTTAGCCCGTTAGGCCAAAAAGCACTTCGAAATACAGCCTTAAACCAAAACACGTAAACTCTAAATTCAGAAGGAAGTTAAGATAAGTTTGTATCAGAGATGAAGCAACAATATTTCCAATAGCACTACTCTCTAACTGAGATAAGTACCTGCTATAGCATTTGGCTTTGCCCAACCAGCTGCAAATGTCCATATTGATGGTAGACTTGGTGTAGGTGGAATAGGAGAAGGCTTCCATCACCTAATATATTTTGTACGCTAGGACTTCCTTTTATAGTTATTCTTCCTAAAAGGAGCTGCAGTAAGATGGGGATGAAGCTTCCAACACTAATCATGAATAATATTTGGGATTTTTATAGAAATCGTACACAACTTCTTCCTTATTGTCTTCAGCACTATTCTTTCCATAAGGTTATACCTTCAGCTTAACCAAAACAAAACTTGAATGATCAAACACATATTTTTGTGTTTGAAGCACACATACCTCTTACTCTCCTCTATATAAACCAGAGAGTTGCCTTGGGACAGAGTCAAACCCTCATGAATATCTTGGAATATAATATCATATTTGTGTTTAGCTTAGTCAGAAACTCAAAAACTCGATTCCTCTCTACCAACTTTCCATAAGTAGCAACAACCTTGGCACTTTCCCATTTAACTATCTCAAGATGATCAATCTCCTACCACCATGACTTCAGAGTATAGAAGTATAAGCTGATAAGCACAAATTGCATTTAACACGTGAATATCTCAAAAATAAAAAGAACAAAAATTCTAGCTTCTTGCATTCTAGTTGTATGTAATTCAATAACCATAAGATTTGCTTGAATCCACTTTTTATATTTGATGCCATTCAGATATCTAGCTCTACCTCTAAATGAGAGAGCCTAGTTTCTTGCACCCTCCGACACATGCAAGCTGATTCCACCCATTCCAAATAATTATTGCCATCAAGCTTCATAGTGATTATTTGGATGTTTAGACTTCTACCACTTAAAACAATACTGGCATCACTGCTCTACTTGGAATCAATCCTTGATAATCAAAAGGTTTAAAACAGGGATAAACCCCACCCTGCAGTTGATCTATGGAAAAGAATGCACTGTAAAGTATGAAATATGGAGGATTAGCCCTAAAGACACCAGTAGAAAAGGGAGAGGGAGGGCACTCATTCCAGAAGTCCCAGGACACATTAGGATCAAAATCATCCACTCAAAATAATTTAAAATACCAATGTAACTCCTCTATAATGGTCTGAAAAAATTGTCTAACTGAATCTCAAGCATTTCTTGATTTCTGGGATGACTTTCTGCTTAACAGTAACTAGTTTTCAATCTAGTGTCATAAATCTTCTAAAAGCTAGGCACTCTAAAAGAAATTCATCAACCTTTTCAGCCCTCCATACAGTTCACTGATCCTAGAACTGAAAAAGTTTCACCTACCACATGTGAGAAGGACCTTGTGCTCTAATACCAACTTATTTGTCTGGTAAATTTAGTGTGTATTGATTTAAGAAAGAAGAGAGGAGAGAAGATGCGATGGCAAGAAGAGAACACAGATGGAGAGAGAAGAGAAGCATGATGTATGAGCCTCTTTCTATTATTTATATCAAATCACAATACAAACAAAAAGAATAGTATGTACTACGTATAACCCTGCTAAATTTTTTACTCATCATTTGTTCTAAATTTATTTGGTTATTGTACAACAATACAAGATAAATTATTGCTATTACTTATTTTCTATTATAAATTTTAACAGGGATTGGAATGGGAGTAAAAAGGGGCATGTTTATAAATTTCTACGATCACAAGGATTTGTATCATCTTATGACATTGCTCATCATTACACAGACAGCGATGAAGATGCACACAAGGTTAGTTGTCCCTCCATAGATGAATGTAAGAGTTAACATATGGATGAGCTTCTAAGAGAAATACCTGTTTATATCCCTATTACAGTGGGTCAGTCATCTCAATCACAGAGGAAATTTATGTGGAGTGGATTTTATTTGGCTCTACAATCCCAACAATCATCGAAAGCCAATGAATCAAAGCTTCATGGAAGCAGTTCTGGGAAATATTAAGGTGTGTAGTGAAATGATTCTTTGAATGGCTTTTATGCTATAGTGCTTCAAATGCCTTGTCATACATCTTCTAAAGCTCAGTTTTCATCCAATAGAGTCATCTTTTCAAAGTCTCAATTGAAGGTACTGAATCACTACATCTTCTAAAAACCAGCCAAAAAGTTCGCAGCTACATCACATACTCTCAATTCTCTCAAACTCTTACTGAGGTAGATATTGTTCTATATTCAACTCTGGCAAGTGCATTTTTCATATGCAGTGCATTCATTATATATTTGGCTGATCATTTTTTAACTTTTGGCACATTAGTTAGGTATACCCAGTCACCCTCTTTATGGCTGTAGTATTGAAGAAATAAAGGCTTTATGGGACCATGTAGACACTGACAGAGATGGAGTAATTGATTTTTCACACCTTGATGTGAGTTCAGATTTTTTTTTTTCATTATATGTTCTTCCTTGGTGAGATGTCAATCTTGAATTCTAATGTTGGGCCATGCGTGGTGGCTAACTAAGTTCTCATTTAACGTAGCAATCACAGAGGACTTTGAACTTGCACCAGTTATTTTGGCAAAGAGAAGAAGACAGTGAAGAACCTGCATGGAGAGAAACATTGCCGAATATTTCGAACAACGCAACTACCATAGGTTTCAATGTTAAGAATGCTTTCCTCTTCCCTCCTGAAGTTGAAAGGGGGATTTGGCCTGAGAATTACTCTCTATCTGACCATGCACACCTCACTGTGGAGTTCTCACTGGTGAGGTTGCAATGTTATTGAGCCTGGTTAATACATTTTATGTTACCCTATATCAACAATTTAATTTGGGTAATGCTGTTACTGAACTAAAGAAATGTTCCTATATTGATTTTCCATGTAAAGAAATTGCAGTCTTTGTTAGCCTTTACAATCTGTAATTGAATCTTATCACAGTTATTTAATGTGCTGGGTAACTGTAATTGTTTATATCTAAGTCTAAACTGTATTAAGAATCACTTCGTATTTAGTATTGCATTTGAATTTAGTGAAACTTGTATTTATTTTGACACAGAATGCTGTTCTGGCCATAATTTACGATTGCAATTTTGTACTACAAATAATATGTCTGGAAAACTTTCTTTTGCAGCTTCACAGAACCTTTAACTTGACAAGTTTTCATCTGATCCTCTTTATGTTGTGTTTTTCACGCTTACCTATTTCTTCAACATGGAGATACCACATCTCCGCAACTGTCTTTTATGGAACATAACCACATGAAATCTGGGAAGGTTCTTGCTAATATTTCCCAATCCATTTTGCTTTCCTTTTGCAGATTAAGTGATTATATGCACAAGATTAGACAATATGAGCCTACAAAAAGGATCTGATCTGCATTAGCATGGAAGTTTGTTTCCATAACAATCATTGTTTGTGTCAAGCATTGTTGTCAGCAAAGCCTAGTGTTATTACCCATTCATCTTATGCCATTTACTTTTTTTTACTACACTTTTCTATATTATTTCACAAGATTCCTGTAAGAGCTCAACTATCTCCACTCTATTTTCTTACATTGGTAATATTCTTGTACTTGAACCTCATACCTCAATCGTTACCCATAAAGTGACTTCATGCTCCAAAGTTGTAGACCTCTTAATTCACCATATATGAGTTTTGGTCACATAAGCAATTAAACACTCTAGTCACCTAATGGGTTATCTGCAACCATTATATTTTTGAGATAAATGCAGATTGAACGATTAATAGAAAGCCTGTTGGATGCTCCTCTTGAAAATTATCATTTAGTTGTACAGCCAAACAAGAGACTATCAGCATCAAGGAGGATGTCCATACATTAGAATGTTTACTTCTAGACTGGTTTACTATTTGAGTTGCTCTCTCACCCCAGAGGCCAGAAGTCTACCAATGTACCTGTAGGCTCTTAAAAGTTAAAATAGAATTAGAAGAGAACTGTCATAGTAAGAGAGAAAAGAAGGAAAAGTTATGCAGCCTTAAACAGGATAAATTTGTCGAAAAGTAAATTTATTGACCCCAAATAGAAATGATCTGGTGTAAATTAAAGGCTACATCATCCATGATCCAACTATTCCATAAACTGAAACAAGATTTAGTTAAGTGCAGATCGTCTCATCATTAGCCTATAAAAGATCTTTTTTTTTTTTTTACATTTGAATATTTGGGATTGAGGTATATTCATGGTCGGAAGTTCAAACTATAGATTTTTGAAATCCCAAAATCCATACAAATTGATTAACCATGGAAGCCTCACAAGGAAATTTCATTTTGTCTAATGTACTAATGTATGAATTATCATGCAAAAAGTTGTCAGCTTTGTCATGGGGACAAAGCCTTTGATCAACCAAGCATTATCTATGCTGCATATACAATAAACAATAATACAAAGAGCTATAGACAAGAAGCTCAGTATGTTGCAGTGCCCACCACTCCTTCCATAGATAGCCACGAATGGACTAGGGGTGCAAGTTGACAGGGTTGGGTCGGGTTTAAGCTCAATCCAGAGCTAATCCTAGGAATTCGGTCTGGTCCAAGTCCCCATCCCGAGGTCAAGCCCAATTTGTTCAACCTGGGCTCACCTGCACTAAAATTTGGTGCACTCTGGTTGGGCTTGGGCCCAGGTCAGGCTCAGGTTGTTCAATCATCCTACACCAAAGTACATGTTTATGTATGCAAATTGGGCTGGGCTTGGTTTACTTAAGAGGGCTAGAACCAAGCCCAACCCGAAAAAAAAACAAAGAAATCTAAAATTTTAGGACTAAGCTAGCCCGAGGGCCAAAAATCAAAGTCCAGTGTGTAAAATTACAGGTTGGGTTGGGCCCACCCAAGTGGCGCTCCTAGAAATGGACCATGCCGATAGCTTTCTTTAGATTTTGATCGAAATTACCAATGGTAAAAAATACGGCTCTCTTCTTTCCAGATAACCCAAAACTTCACAAAGGGTTCGTATAGAGCTTTATCCCTTTTACTGGGGCAGAGTGCAGAGAACATCTAAAGCACCATTGTCAATTGAGCTCTGAAGGTTTGGTTTCCAGCCTATCAGAGATTGATTATTTGAACTAACAAGATGGGTGGTATGATCAATATTGTTATAGCCACGTATCCTAGAGAATTGGAACTACCAATTTACCAGGCAATTTGAGCTATCACTTGAAAATTGTCTTGATTTATCATTATGTTCAGTATTTCTAAGGTTTTGTTACGGCTATAAACCTTATAATTGCCCCGGACGCTTTAGCCAAAAGAATGTCCTCTCTGTCAAAAATATTGGACGATAGTAAAACTCAGTGGGCAAGGTTAAGTGGTAGCAAATGCCTTTCTAAGTAAATGGTTATATTATTTTGACAGAATCCTTAATTTGCATCATCATCATCATCATCATCATCATCATCATCATCATCCAAGCCCCATCCCAACTATATGGGGTCAGTTACATGAATCCTATTTCATCATTCTGTATTATTTAATGTCATATTGATTGTTAAACTATTGGTGTTTAAATCATTTCTTACTATTTTTACCCATGACCTTTTTGGTTCACCCCTGGCCCTATCAATGTGCAACAAATCACTTCTTATGAGTGTTATCAATGGTTTTCTATGTATGTAACGATATCATCTTGATTTCCTTTCTCTCATTTTATCACCTCTTTGAGCTATTCCCAAGTTCTTATAAATGACTTCATTCATGATTTCCACTCATCCATCCCAACATATACATTTTCTAGCACACTCCATAGAGCATACCTGGACTCACAACTGTTTTATAAAACTTTCCTTTTAATCGAAGTGATATTCATCTTGTAAGGTCAGCACTGTGATGATGATCTTAATTACAAAGGGAGTAGGATGTAGGGGAAAAACACTGGTGGAAAGAGATAGGAAGGACACCTTTAAGGACTAGGAAAAGGGATGAGATCAGAGCTTTCAGGGAATAATCAGAGCACTAATATGTCTAGCTATAAATGGATACACCTATCCTTTTAGAAAGTTTATTGGATAGTTATGGGTTTGAATCTTGAGACATTGATATGGTGACATGTGTCGAGCTGTGATTCATGGAGTAAACTCCCTTTTATTCCATGTTTGCAGATTCCTACCACATGTTATTTCTGAGGGGACATGCTTTGTTGTACTTAACAGCTTTTGCAGTTACTAGTTCACTATGTTTTATCTTGGGTTAATAGCATATAAGGGTAATTTTTGAGGTTTAATATCAATAAAAGTAATATATTTAAAAAAATTTCAAAAACAGGTTAACTTTTTAAAAATAATATCAATAAAGGGTAAAAATACTGTTCATATTCTTCATCTTGCCATTTGTTCACCAGAGCTGCCATCCTCCGCTGCACCGCCGTCCGCTGCCGCCGCCTCCGCCTCTGGCAACATTGCCAGAGGTCCATATTTTTAACTTTTTAAAAATAATATCAATAAAGGATAAAAACACTGTTCATATTCTTCTTCTTGCCATTTGTCTTTAGCAAGTGCGTCCGCAAACTCGCTTTTCTAGCTATTGGCCGCGGTGATTGTCTTTAATCAATGTTTTATTCCCTCTTAGAAAGGTCCACGGAACCAGTTAGTTTTTTTGCAATCATCGATCCGTGGTCCTATTTAAGTCAATCCCCTTACACATTTAGCATATAAAATTCTAGATGCATCCCTCCATTTTCCCCATCAAACATCCTCCTCAATATCTCCTTTGTCATGAATTATCAAATCAATAAGGTAATAGAAAAGGCCATAATATCTTATTTTCTCCAAACTTAATTGTACCCTAATTTGCACTACTATTATTATTACATTTAAGTTTATTAAATTAAATTAAGGATCCTTCATTTGCATGCATTGCTGGTATCAATAGAGACCATAGTTCTTTTTTACCAATTAACCTATTTAGGAATGTGAATGGTGTTATTTTATAAAAGAAAAACAAATGTCATTGCTTTTGTTGCAAGGCAGTTGTTTTTCTTTCAAAAAAACAAAACAATTCATGTTGGCAAACACCTCCTTGGATGTCAAACTCTAGGAATTAAGGTTCATTTATAGAACAATGAGAGACTCCCAAAAAAAAAAAAAACTGAAAATATGAATTAGCAGTTTTCACATGGTTTATGGTTTTATTTTATTTTTGATAAAAGGAAAAAGGTCAAGCATTTTGATTTTGAAACACATAATAGTTGAGAAGTGAAAAAGGAGAGATAAGTACCAAGTGAAATAGAATATCTATTTCATTGTTAAATGAGAGTAGTTTGAACCAATGTTTTCAAAACCAGACTGGACCCATGGTCGGACTGAAAAAATCGGGAACTGGCATCATCTGACCAGTTCCATTTTACCCCAAAACCACTATTTGGCCAAAAACTGTTGATTTAGTCAGCAAATCACTGACCCGAGTGATTGAACCGCTGAACCATTTGACCCTGAAACGATTTTTGACTGTTTTTTGGGTTTTTTATTTTTATTTGTTGTTTAGTCAGAACTGGCTGTCCATTTGGACGAACAGTCAGATTGTTCGACCTGAAAACTAGACCCGGAACAATTCCTTGTCCAGTCCAATTTTAAAAACCTTGGTTTAAACTAGGGAAACTGGATTCTTTTGTTTGGTTTCAGCACTAGCTCAGTTTCTAACTACTGGGGCTTTTTGTCATTGGAGATTGGATGGATGGATGATAGGAAACCCTTTGAATTGGACAAGTACACAATACCTGCCATTTACTAGAATTCATTTTGGGATACCATTTACAGCCATAGGGTCATAAGTTGGAAAGGGCTTCATAGTCATTTCAGAAATAATATGAAGTATAGCATGGCTTGGACAAGGTACCAACAGTATCTATTACTTGTTCTTGAAAAAAGAGGTTAGGAAAGATGGGTGGAGAAAGAAAATGGTGGGTGGACATTGACTGGAAGATGGCGACACAGAACCACTAAAATCATTGCCTCTTCTCACAATTT